CGGTTTCTGACAACACTATAGAAAGGAGTAGAGGGAGCTAGTTCCTGCTCTTCTCCCGAGCTTTATCCCCAGAACCTGGTCCGGATCACAGAGGCATCTCCTGAGAGTGGGTCTTCCTGGAAGGTTTTCTGTCTTTGCTGTCTCTGGGCCCTCTCCGTTCATCGCCGTCTCTGGCCTCTGCCCTCTGGGAGGAGGAGCAGGACTGAGTGCCTCCTTCCCGCCCTGACCAGCTCGGAGCCCTATGTGACCAGCCTGCTCAAGATGTACGTGCGGCGGCCTTACAACTGCCACGAGCTCTTTGGTTTTGACATCATGCTGGATGAGAAACTCAAGCCCTGGGTCCTGGAAGTCAACATTTCCCCCAGGTAGGCCGGGTTCTCGGGGCTCTGAGAGAGGTACCCATACTGTATCCTTGCTGACTTTGTTTGGTAGGATTTGTGTTCTCTCTCAACAGCTGTTTGCACATTCATGCTGAATCATCTCCCCCACCCCACCCCACCCCCGTCAAGGTGCTTTGAGGGTGGACAGAGGTTGTTAAAAGTTGTTCTTTGAAGCTGAAAGCACAGGGAATCCCAGATAGATCAACTCCTCAGGACCAGTGATGAAAGTAGCGATACCAGGAGGGGAAGGGAAAGGGGGGGTGGAAAGGGGAGAACCAATCACAATAATCTACATATAACCCCCTCCCAGGGGGACGGGCAACAGAGTAGTGGGTGAAGGGATGCATGGGTCAGTGTAAGACATGAAAAAAGCAATAATAATTTATAAATTATCAAGGGTTCATGGGGTAGGCAGGGTGGAGGAGGGACCGAAAAAAAAAAAAAAAAAGAACTGATAGCAAAGGTTCAAGTAGAAAGAAAATGTTTTGAAACGGATGACAGCATATGTGCAAATGTGCTTGACACAATGGATGTATGGATTGTGATAAGAGCTGTATGAGCCCCCAGTAAAATGATAGAAACAAACAAACAAACAAACAAAAGGTTCTCCTTTGAAACCTGGTCCCCAAACACTTGATTTTCCTTCGAAATGATGGGCAGACGTGTCCGGAGTGAGGCTATTCACTCTCTTTGGAGCAAGAAGCCCCCTACCACAGGGCTCATGAATGTGGGGATTTGAGTCTTTTCAGGCTCGTGCTGTGCAGGACATCTGCCCGGGATCCACTGTAGAATGCTGCTTTTACCACTGTTTGTTTTATTTCTGAAAATAAGTTACGGTAGCTTTTTCGTAAAAATATGCTATTGATGTTAACACATAATGGGTTTATTATTATTATTTATTTACTTTATTATTAACATAGGTTTTATTAACTAGATGTACTTAACATAGTTTTTTAAATTAGATCTTTTTATTGGGGGCTCTTACAGCTCTTATTAACAATCCGTACATCCATTGTATCAAGCATTTTTGTACATAGGTTGCCATCATTTTCTAAACATTTACTTGAGCCCTTAGTATCAGCTCCTCTTTTTCCCCTCCCTCCCACCCTCGTGGCCCGTTGATAATATGGTAAATTATTATTATTTTCATAGTATTACTTGTTTTTAAGAGAACACGATTCGGAGTCTTCAAGAGCACGAGGGGAAGGCAAAAACAAAGACCTGTGATCCAGATGGGGGAGACCATCTGGATTTGCTGACAAGGGTTCGCTGACATACACAACTGTGGAAAGGACATGGGTGCTTAGGGCAAACGGGACTCTGACCATTCTGCCTTCCTTCCCCAAAGCCTCCACTCTAACTCTCCCCTGGACGTCAGCATCAAGGGCCAGATGATCCGGGACCTGCTGAACCTGGCGGGCTTTGTGCTGCCCAGCATGGAGGACATCCTATGCAGTCCCAGCAGCCCCAGCAACTCCAGCACCAGGTCAGCTCCCCTGTTGCTGGCCACGAGAGCAACACCCCCATCATCTTGAAACTCTTTACCTGCACACTGAGGCCCCAGCCCCCTGTCCCTCTTTTCCTCATTCGGTTCCCTGTCCTCCCAATGCACCTGATCACTCAAAGACCCTCATGGTTGGAAGCATCTTGAAAGTCCAGTCATTCAATTTCTGCTACTTGGGATTCTCCCCTGCCCATGGGGTCCCCTCTTTCTGCAATGCCCCTCCACCAGAGCTGCCCGGCATCATCTCACACATCTCTCAAAGCCTTGCTCAAGGCAGCATCTATGTCTTCTGTGTGTGAGGAAAGACTTAGGTTATCCTCAAAGCAACCCTACGAGGTTGACATTAGGGTTGGCAGTTTTACAGACAAGGAGATGGAAAATCACCGGGCTGAAAACGACACCCTCCACTTTCATTAAGCTACAAAGTGGCCTGCAGTTCCTGATTTGCCTGGTCACAAGCTCGCTCGTTTCCCTTACTGCCTGGCGTCTTCTGTTCAGCCCTGCACTGTGGGTATCTGTTGACAGAATTCCTGGACACCAGAGCTGCTTCTCAGGCATCTTTCTGCCTCAGACGTGCTGGTAGCCACGTGGGCGATGCAAATGAGGGACCAAGAGGTTAGGTAACCTGCCCCAGGCTATACAGCCAGTAGGATTCAACAGGATGCCGAAGACCAGAGGGCATGGCACTTTCCTTTAGTCCGGGCTCCTCTTGTTGGTCATTGACATGTAGCGGAGAGAGGATGTTCTTCGTGGAGCTTGGGCTTTGATTCTGGGCGACATGAGTAGAGGGCGTTCTGGTTGATTGACACTGAAAACGAACAGCTCCCTGTACTTTCTTTTCGTCTCTTCCAAGGGGAGCCTTACTGGACTGGACTTCTCCTTTGGGAAGTAATGATGCTAACTTTACCCTTTGCTCCCCATGCCCGGTTCCCAGCCTTCCCAGCACCCCTAAGGACAAATCCCGAATGGCTCCCGAACACCTCACTGCACAGAAGATGAAGAAAGCCTATTATCTGACCCAGAAGATTCCTGATCAGGTAGGGGACTGGCCAGCCTTACCCCACAGAGCCAGCAGGAAGTTTGTTCCCTGCACACGAGGCCACCGGCGGCCTCCTCTCCAGGGCCAGGGGTTCCCAGCCAGCTCTGCAGTCCCTGGGAGTGCTGAGATCTATGACCTGAGTCACTTTTCCAGGAACCACTGCCTTTACAAAATGCCTTCCTGGCCCTGTCTTTGGTGCCGGGGCTATAGCCTTCTCCCCTTTGTGCTTTGTCCCCAAGAGGTCCAGGGGGACCCTAGAAGTGGCGAGTCAGTTCAGTCCAGAGGAAAGAAGGGCAGAACCCAAGCTGGTGTCAGACCTGAGGCACCAGTGCCTGATCTTGCCCCCCTCCAATAAACCAGCCAGCCTCTGTGTCCCAGTAGCCTTCCGCCCCCTACACCTACCCCAAGCATCTTCTTTCCCCGGCTCAGCCCAGCAGGTAGAGGCTCAGGGGCGGCTTGCCTGGGGGCGGTGAGGGGGCCTGAGCTCACACAGACCCTTTCCTCCCTGTCCTGGGGGCCACAGGACTTTTATGCCTCCGTGCTGGACATCCTGACTCCGGACGACGTGAAGGTGCTGGTGGAGATGGAGGACGAGTATTCTCGCCGCGGTCAATTTGAACGGGTTTTCCCTTCGCGGATCTCCACTCGCTATCTCCGCTTTTTCGAGCAGCCACGATACTTCAACATTCTCACCACCCAGTGGGAGCAGAAGTACCATAGCAACAAGCTCAAAGGTGATGTGCCTTCCCTGACTCAGGAGACCATGTTTAGAAAGAGGTTAGATCCCAGTAGACCAAGAATTGGGCCTCTCCAGCGAGAAGATAGGGCCAGTTAATTCGCCCTCTTAAGTCCGACACCTGTGCTCTTGTCCCAGGTGTAGATCTCCTTCGGAACTGGTGCTACAAAGGGCTCCACACAGGCGTCATCCTTGATTCTGCTCCCGTGGTGAGTGATGCCGGCTCTGCCCAGGCCTCTGCTTTGCACCAGGAGCTGGGGGTGGGGTAGACCCCCCCAACTTCTTCCCTGGGCTCTGCATTGGAGTCTTGGGCCCCTTGTCTGTTACGGGAAAACTCATCTTCAGGGTTCCCTGGTACTTTGAAGATGAACAAGTGCCTGCAGGCCTTAACTTCTTGTCTGCCCCAGGAGAGAAGCCAGGCCTTCCCCAGAGGGCTCGTGCCTTAGAGGCTGGGGGTGGGAAGCGCCCCGTGATCACTCAGGCAGAGCTGGAAAGGGAGTCCTAGACACTCAGACCTGACCTCTGCTTGTAGTGGTCTCTCCCGCCGGGACTTCTGATGACCCCAAAGGGTGACACGATACCTAATGCCTTCTGCAAATCAGAGATTGACGACCTGGGGTGAGTGCCACCTGGGCCAGGGGCGAATGTGGGCTGTGAGATTTGGGAGTTCTCTTCCTGTCTGCCCAGATTATGATTGGGAGCTCAGCACTGGGGGTGGGGTTTAGTGAGCATACCAGTTTTCCCAGCCACTGAGTCCTCCCTCTGCCTGGTGACTCGCAGGAGGGCCCGTGAGGTTGAGCCACAGTCCCAGATCCATCTGCTGACGTGACCACTTTCAGCCACACCCACTAGCTGGGATGAGGAGACGGACCCTTCGCTCTCTACACGTAGCTCACTCTTGCATTTAAGCTTTCCACTCTTGCATTTAAGCTTTCCATCCTTCAGGGGAATAAAATGCCGCTTATGGCTGTGGTCGTGGCCATAGAGTGATGGCCGAAAGCACCACAATGCTGAGTCTGCTCCAGGCTCTCACGGGGCCGGGTCACAAGTTAGGGTCTCAGCTACACAGTGTCTGGGCCGTTTCTCTCCCTGCTTGTTCCCTTCAGGAAGCACAGCTCCTCTGAGGGAAACCTGCCGCACTCTGAAGATGGAGCCAGCCCCAAGGCCAAGAAGACGCCAGCTAGCCTTTCTCCTTTCCCCAGGAAGCCCAGTTTCTCCAAGGACAGCGAGGACACCAGCAAAGAGGCCAGCCTCTCCATCCAGATGTTACCTCTGATCAAGTGCTCCGGGCAGACTTCGAGACTTTCTATCTCCCCCATCTCCCAGTCGACCAGTGACTCCATCTTTGCTGCTGTGAGCCCCTGACTGGCCTCCGCTCTCTAGTCCACCCCTAGGAGCACCAGTGTTAGCTACCTCACAGGAAGGACCCTGCTGGCCCGCCGCTCTGAACCCCCATCCCACCACCTTGCCCTCCAGAGAGTATTTTTGAAATGGTTCAATTGGCAGAGATGGTTGTATCTGTAGGGCTGGAGGGATTGTGGGGGGTGGAGAGAGGTGCAGAAGGACCACCTTCTATCACTTGCCTGGTGCCTCATATCTCAACAGAGAAACCCACGGTGACCACACAGCCTCATAAAACAGGCTTTGCTTTCTACCTTCAGAGAGCCGGGTGGTTTATTTCAGGCCTTGGTGAAGTGATTGAGTTGTAGCTCACAAGTAGAAAACGAACTGAACAAACTTAGGCCAAAGCCTCTTGTTCGATAATCGAGGAGGTTCCTCTGCAGGCTCTTAGCTTCTCAGGTTCCCACTTGCGTCCCCTCACCCCCTTCTGTCCTTAGGATTCACTTTCCGAAACCTCAGACTTCCCCAGAGGAAGCCACTTCCTGTCCTCCGGATGCCTGTCCTAGTCAGGGCCTCCACGCTTCCATTGCTCCTTCTTCATGTGGCCGCTCGCCACTGCCTGTTCCGCCTGCTGCGCTTGTCTGGTGCATGGCACCTCTTCATCTCGCCCCCCTCCCCTTTTAAATGCATTGAGATGAGAGGTTCTGTGGAGGGGGCTTGTGATTTTCATGGCTACCCCCCAGGGTCCGAGTGTCCCAGATGCTGTTGATCTATGTCTGTAGAGCAAAGGATCAGATTTCCAGTGGAGGGGCTGGGTAGAAGGAGCTGTGATGTCCCCAGCACGCAGCGGAAGGTGCATGCTGTGACCGCCTGTCTTCATTGCCTCGATTCCTGGGGTCTAGACCACAGATTGCCGGGGCAAGCCGAGTCCAGGGACTTGGCTGGTGGGTTTCCGTAGTGACTGTTGTAGAATGTTTTACCACTCAGGCCTCTCGCTAAATTCTTGTGCCCTGAACTGAAGCTACCTCCTTCCTCTCGGCCCAGTCCCCAGTGAGCAGACAGTGTTGGCTGACGTGTCCATAGGGAGAAGAAGCTGGAACGGGGAATCCCAGAAGCACTGGCGCAGTGGCCACTGTTGACTGCCCGTGCTAAGCTCCCGTGCTGTTGAGCAGCATGGCGTACAGGAAGTCAGCGGCCCGTGTCTCTGACATGGAAGCGTCCTCCTTTGCACAGCAGGAGGAGGCTCAGCTGCTTGCTCTCCCCCGGGCTCTGGATGCCCTGCTGGCTTCTGAGGCTTGGAAAGAGGAAGGCTGCCTTGCTCTGAGGCTCCTGGAGCTTGTCCGGTGGAGCCTTGGGCAGAAGACTGTCTGGATTTGAGGGTGCAAAGTCAACGGTGATGCGGCCACCCGAGGGCCATGTTGACAGTTGTGAAGAAAGCTGCCCGGCTGCTCAGTGAGAACATCGGGCCAGGCCTGTAGCAGTCTCTACTGAGGGAGTTGGACTCCCTTGTGTCCTTCCTGGGTGCAGTACTCTAGTGCAGGGGCAGAGCCAGCCTTGTGACACGATTGGTCAGCAGCCTTTCCAAGCATGCTCAGCAACTCCGCAGCGGCACCAGAGGGAGGTGTGGTGGCTGGCCACGCTGTGGAGGGGTGGGGGGCGGGATCTCTCCTCAGTAGCCACCTCCCTTCTGAGAGGCCCCGTACAGCCCATTTCCGCCCTGTGACTCAAGAGGGGACCGCATTGCAGCTTGCTAGGGATTGCTTGTGCCATGTGGGGGCTCATGAAATTAGATGTGTTCTTAGTGTAAAACATGCTTCCACATAGGTTCTTTCCCATTATCATCCCTTTTGGAGGGTGGGGGGGTCTGATGGGTGTGGGGTGGGGTCTTGCTGGGTGGGAGAAAGGCCTGGGGGGGCGCTATATCACAGTTCCCATCCGCCCAGGTGCAAAAATGAAATCTTGGCTATTGAACATTCAGCATACATACTGAGCTTTGAAAACCCACACTGTGTAAAGTATTCGGCTCAATAAGGAATTTGGGAGAAGTAATGTATTTTTTTTAAAGTTTGGAAGTGTAGTAGATTAAATGTTAGAATGTGTCAGTTCTCTTCCTAGTTTGGTAATTTACCCAGCCCCCGTGTGGTGAACGGAACACACCTAAGACTGAGAACGTGGAGCGTAACAAGCTCGGGTGGTGGTAGTAGTGGTAACCGCCCCCACTCACTGCCAGTCCTCTCGGGACCTAGGACCTGAGGATGGATGCTACTGGACCAGGGGCATTAGGTTAGGAAAGAACCTGGACCTCCTCTGCCCACCTTGAGGCCAAATCCCAGTTTGCTGCTGCTTAATAGTCACATGACCATGGGCATGGCGTCCTTTTAGAAGCTTGGATTTTGTATAAAGCCATTAGGATGCTAGTGTGTCAGAATTGTAAACAAAAACAATATAAGAGCCCATGGGCCAAAGAAGGCACTTCCTATGTGGGCGTCCCTTTCTCTGCTGCCTAGGTGTGCGGTGGCTGGACCACGGCCCTCCTAAGGGAAATGTGGCCACATGCTTAGCAGCTTCGTTGTGGCTGCAAGACCATGGTGTAGAGGCGGCAGAGGTGCTCATGGGTCCCTCCTTGGCAGCCAACTCCTATTCCTCAGCCTGCCTTGTGTGGGGAGAGGCAGGCAAGGACTTTAAAACCCTTCATCCTTTCCCACAAGGGAAATAAATGGAGCTACTAGGATCATTCTAGAAGCAACAGTAGTCAGAAGAGTGCCCAGATAGCCCCTCACCCCCAACACACACATGCGTAGGAACGCTGCCATTCCGCTTCATCCCCCTGACACGTTTTCTTTCTCGGAGGTGCAGTGCTTTGGTTAAGAACTGCACAGCCAGACTCCTGGGAAAGCAGTCATTCAGTCTTTACACACCAGGCACTTTGGTCACAAAACAGAGAGGAAGAGGACAGTGGATGTCAGGGGCCTGGAAAGGAAGAACAGGTGCACCACGTGGAGGCCTTGAACTTGAACTGGGGCCAGAAGCAGAGCCAGGCCCCAACCTCTGACAGCTGTGCTTGGGTACCTTCTCTGGTCCAGGGTAGAGTTAGGCTGAGACTGGCTGCCCTTCCCTCTTCCTCACTCCGCTAGTCAAAGGACACTCATGATTTGCCCCAGGGCACCCTGACACTGGTGAGGACCAGTGCAGGGGGTTGACACCCATTACCCTCCACTGACTGAGGTTATAAATCTTTGTGGAAGCAGAAAGCTTCGTCTTCCATGGAGTGACGGGTGGATTTGAACTGCAGAACTTGTAGGTAGCAACTCCACACTTAACCCACAGTGCCTGGGTATAGATAACTTTCCCACTTGTCATTTGAACGCTGACCTTTATCACATTTTCAGAAACTACATACTTAACTGCCATGGAGTTGTTGATCCACTAGAACAGGGTAGGCCTGACTCCGTGAATTTCTGAGACTGTTTACAAGTTACAGGAGTAGAAAGCACTGGCTCTCCCCTGTGGAGTAGCAGGTGGCTTTGAACTGCAGTCTGATCTCCATCAGCAAGTTCAAGTCTTTCAGCAAGCAAGGTTGTGTCATCTGCATACCACAGATCGTTAATAAGCCTGCCTCCAATCCTGACGCCACGGTCTCATATGGTCCAATTTCTCGGGTTATTTGCTCAGCGTACAGACAGAATAAGTATGGTGAGAAGCTACAACCTTGACACATTTCCTGATTCTAAAGCACACACAAGTCCCATGTTCTATTCAAGTAGCTACCTTTTGATCCATGTGCAGTTTCTGCATGAACACAATGAAATGTTCTGGAATTCCCATTCTGTGTTGCCCATAGTTTGTTAAGATGCATATAGTTGCATGCCTTTGCATAGTCAATAAAAGAATACATTAGAACAGTGGTTCTCAACCTATGGGTCAAGATCCCTTTGGGGGTCGAACAACCCTTTCACAGGGATCACC